CTGTGTCTTCTTTGAAAATGGGAAGGTTTTCTTGTACCTTTAAATATAAATATTTAAAACAAAAACATTGCCATATAGCACAGAAAAGCTCTGAATAATCACTGAATGAATGAAATACAGAATGGCATATTTTCTTGCATACAACACATCCTTTTTCCTAAAAAACAAGTGCTGAAAATTTCAGTGCACATAATATGTGAGAAATACGGTAAGAACAGTTTTTCCTAGATACTGACAAAAGTGAAAATAAAATCTCTCTGACTGCTGCTACTCTGTTACTTTATTTACCCAAATCCAAGACACCTCTGAATTTAAGACAACCACACAATAATTAGACTCTATATATGGAAAATGTATACATTTATGATAATTTTCCACGTATAGAATCTAAAGGAGGGTTGTCTTAAATTTATCCCACATTGCTATTGCAACAGGGAGGCAAGTAGCAGCAGGGGGGAAGGCAGTAGGGGAGTCAAGTGGGCTGATTTATCCCTTGTCCCTCTATTCATTGCTCTCTGTTGCCTTTCCCTCCTCATCACTTGGCCTTCCTGCTACCTGTTCCTCCCATGCCTGCACCCCCTGCCACTTGCCCCCTCCTAGTACCTGGGCCACCCTGGCACTTGCCTCTCACCCGCAGTTCTTGGGCCCCCCAGCACCTGCTCGTTGGCCACTTGCTGTTCCCCTCCACCTTGCTGCGCCTGCCCCCAGTGCCACTTACCCTCAGTCATGGCTCCAGCTCTGGCCCGGGCCACAGAGCATACAGTGGTTTGGGCCCCTGCCCAACCATATAGGAGCAGTTTTAGTGGCTGCAGCTCCAGCTCTTGCCTTGGTTTTGAGCCTGGCACTAGGTTGGAGCAGGAGCCAGGGCTAGACCAGCTGCCAGCTGCCACTGTTGCTGCTGTGTGGCTGGGCTGGGGCTGGAGCCACCATGTGTTCCATGCCCCAGGCTGGAGCAGAGTCAGATCTGGAGCAGCAGCTGAGGGGGGCAGAGGTGGTGGAAGGGTGAGTAGAGGCAGCAGGGGTGGGGCCAGAGGCAGCAGGGGACAGGAGGGAGACTCCAGGCTTGGATCAGAGGCAGTGAGGGGTGAAAGAGGGGACAGAAGAGGTAGGAAAACAGAGGCTGTGGGGGGCAAGTGGTGCAGAAGGGATAGTGGCTGTGGCTCCAATTCTGACCTTGAGCTTGGGCAGGGCAGGGCAGGAGCCAGAGCCAAAGCCAGGGCCAGAGCCTGCCCTCCTGCCTTGTACCCAAATCTAAGACAAGGGTCTCTCTCCCCCCCGCATGCAGGTTGAATGTGGGGGAAAACCTTGTCACGGATTTGAGTAAATATGGTACTGTAAGGAAAGATCTTTTAAAATTCATTGTGTGTTTCCAAAAAAAGAAGTGTATTTTATTCTGTGTTGTATTGTTCTTGAGAAAATATAGTATCTAGAATTATTGCCTGAATCTGCAGGCCAAATGCAGCAAAAATTTCATTGAAGATGAAGGGGATTTTGGATCACCATTCAAGAGAGATACTTTTTAGATGCAATTCTTAAGTATTTTAAATATAAATCAGCATTAACAGAACAGTTATACAATTAATCAGTCTCTGATTTCAGAAATAGGTAGCTTTTAGAACTGAATTCACAATCTGTTGCCTTGAAAATCTGTGTGCATCATTCCTATAATTATATAATTTTTAACCTTTGACAAGCATTATTCAGAAATAACTCTTCTATATGGAATTTTGTGGCACAAAGGTACAAGAAACTATAGGCCATGTTCAGATGTTCAGTTTCTACTGGCAGAATCCCTGTTCTCCTGATAGAAACTATAAGTGTATAAATGTTCATGCTGTTTGTCCCCGACCAAAAATGGTGGTTCTGTGAAAACCAACCAGATAGAAGTTGCTTCTAGGACATTGAACTTTTATACACTTTCCCATTGTTTAACTCCTCCTAGGGACCAGGAAGACTGGAGCCTCACAGAAACCCTCCTGTGACTTCCTGAGACGAAGGTCACCCTGGTCTGGAGAAGGTATGGGGAGCAGCTGCTTCTCACGCTCACTTCTCATGCTGGGGTCCCTGGAGTGAGAAGTGGAGAAGTGGTGCAGCAGAAACCCTCTTGCCTGCTTTTCACTCTGGAATCCCTGGTGTGAGAAGAGTTCAGAGGACTGCTTCAGTCCCTTGGAAATGGGAGGACTTGAGTAGCCCATAGTTTCCCCAGATTGGGATCACCCAGTGTTGGGAAGGTGTAAAGAGCAGGGGAGAGGGGTTGGCTGCAGGCTGAACATCTGCACTTCTTCCTTTCCTGGAATTATTTCTGGCAATGGAAATTTGAGGGAGCACTGGCCAGGAATTAGACCTGTCGTGAATTATCCATAGGTGGCTTAAACAGAGTCTAGTGTATATTATTTTGTGTGCAGGGGCAACAGTTAACATTAAAACGTTCCTTGTGAAAGAATTACTTACTTTTTGATATAACAGACTGCTAGAACAACCGAAGCTAGAAAGAAGAAGAGTGCCAGGATGAGGAGTGCAGTGGGTACACCTAGAAATAAAAGGAAATTGATAATGAGATGTGTTTATGTTGAGATTATATGTATTCTTAGTTCTTAAATGTACCTGTCAGAAGATTTGCATTTGTAAGTCCAGATTCTTTTACAGGCACCCTTGGTTAAATAAGTACAAATAAACAGAAACAGGTCTTGAAGGCACCTCAGGAAGTCACCTTGTCTGATCTCTTGCTCTGATGTTGAGTGGATATACCTAGATCATGCCTGCTAGACATTGTACAATCTGTTCTTAAAAATCTCCCATGAGAGGGATACTACAGTCTCCATAGGTTACCTGTTCTAGTGCTTAGCTGTTTGTATAGTTTAAATGTTATTTCTTAATTTCTAACCTAAATCTCCTTTACTGCCAATTAAAAGACTAAGCCAGTTACTCCTTATCCTACTCTTAGGCATAGAGAACAATAGATCACTGTTGCCTTAATAACAACCTTTTGCTATGTACCACTTCAGTGATCTCTTACCTAGACTAAACAGACCCAATTCTTTCACCCTTTCCTTTTTGTTGCTTTCCTTTATACTCCCTCCAATTTTTACATATTTTTCTTTAAGTGTGGTGCCCAAAACTAGCTACACTATTATAGCTGAGGCTTTCCAGTGCTGATTATAGAAAATTGCCTCTGTCTTGCATGACACTTCTGTTATACATCTCAGAATGTTATTTGCCTTTTGGCAAGAGCATTATGCTTTTTTGACTCATATTGAATTAGTGGTCCACTATAACTTCCCTGATGCCTTTCTATAGCATTGCTGCCTAGTCCGTTATTCTCCATTTTCTATTTATATACCCAGTCCTTCTTCCTCACTGCAGTTCTTTGCACTTGTCTATATTGAATTTAACCTTAATGATTTCAAATCATTTCTTGAATTTATTAAGGTCACTTTGAATTATAAACCAGGCCTCTAAAATGTTTGACACTCCTTCCAGCTTGGTGTCATCTATTCCATAGATTCATAGATTCATAGATTAAGGGTCGGAAGGGACCTAGTAGATCTTCTAGCCCGACCCCCCGCCAGGGCGGGAGAACAACAAAAAACCCCAAAAAGAGAAACGGGACTCAAATGAGTCCAGCCAGGTAGGCATCCAGCCTCTTCTTAAAGACCCGAGACTGCACGTAGTCGGCAGGATCCGAACCTGCGCGGGGAGACCCCAATGGATTTCCAGTCCATCATTCCAGCCATTAATGAACATATTGAAGAGACTGGGATTCAGCACAAATTTCTGCTGGCCCCACTTGGTATGTCTACCTAGTTTGGCAATGGACCGTTAACAGCCTCTCCTCAAATATGTTTTTACAAGTTGCAGTCAGTTACTATCCATGCACTGACCATGGATATATTTCAGTTTGAATTCAGCAATGGCCTAAGTGACTGCCTGTAGTGATAGGGCGATTTAATAGAAGAATAGGAAATCATCAACCTATATATGTTACAAGTTCATTCAAAATATTTAGGGTCAGAGAAAACTAGACATGACCCAAAGTGTTCTCCAAATAGATAATGAACTCTGGGTATAAATTTCAGGGATGCTACTAGTGAAAACATGAGTGTGTAGCACTTTAGACAACTGAAAGGCTAAGGATTTTGAAAAAAATCTATATCTAGATTGACCATAATAGGGCCCAGTCTAGTAAGGCTGGAGTTCTAGGCACTAATGAGGACTTTAGATCCTGCTCACCCTTGGCTCTCCTTGTCCTTCTGAATATGCTCAAAATGGCCATTTAAGCTCTGCTGTGATCCTATTCCACCTGGGAAGGCACATAACTGTATAAATCCCTAAAATCTCAGTCACAGAAGAACCACAACTAGCAATGGAGGAGATAAGGATCCAACAACCAAGTGATTAGGGCACGTGTCCAACAGTGGTTCTAGGCCCCTTTCAGCCAGCAAGGGCTTAAACCTACATCTCCCACTTCTCAGCCAAGCACTGTAACCACCTGGCTATGAGATAAAACATTCTCCACCGTGCTTTGAAGGGCCAAAACATCTTCCATCTCTCCTGTTGAAGCTGGCCTGCTTGACAGCCAGGAGGGAGGGAGTACAGAGATGGGGGCTGCCCTGGAAGGGAGGAGTCCCTTGGTTCTGGCCTCTACTTTTGTCCCCAGTAGGACTAAACCTATCCAACTTCTGTTTCTCCATTTTATTAACTATTAAATCCAAATTGCAGAAACACCATTAGGGCAGGAAGAGGTCCCCTAATCACTAGTCTATTGGGCTAAATTGTGGGAGGGCCATCATCTTGCTCCTCCATTTTCGGTGACTCCCACACCACAGAGTTACCTACCTTTGTGAGGGAGCTAGGATATAAAATCTATGAAGTAGTTTAGGATGGGGGCTGGCAATGTTTTCCAGTAGCAGGATGGAGTTACCCAGTTCGGGTCTAAACCAGGCTGGCACTAGAACCCAGTCATAGAAGCTTCTGCGTGTTGCCCCGTGTGGGCAAAGCCTCTCCCCTTTGCTGAAGCCCCAGCTGCTTGGGAACCTCCCCCGACAACTGAACACAGCTGGCAGGATACAAAGGCTCCATGGACTGTAGTAGGTTGCCAACCCGTGGCCTAGATAGAATGCCAGTTAACAATCCAAAAATAGAACTAGATTTGGACTTTTATGCCTACACAGTCTTTACAGGCAAAAATGAATCCACATTGTATTTTCTAAGAAGAACAGCGGAGAGAGCTAATTTAGGGATTACTGACATGTAAGAAAATGACACATTTTACTCTCATTGTTTAACATTAGGGAGTTCTCTGTTACTTCTCTGTTAGTTTAGGTTTTAGAAACAATTAAGTTCTTTAGTTGCTTGGATCACGTGGTATATGTTGCCATAATTCCTACTGTTTTCCCGAGGAAAAGTCATACTAAGTCCTTTGCAGAAGAAGGTATGTCCAGCATAAACAGAGTCTTTGGGGAATTTATCTGTAAAGCTCTAGCAAGTTCTGCAAACTCCAATTAAAGTGCTAAGTGATGTTTCACCTGTACATTCTCCACATATAAATGCACACCTTTACAGATTTATGTTCAAAAGAAAGACTTCTTTTGAAGGCTTTTTGTTTGGCTTTACAATCCTTATATTCTTATTCTGCTCATAGACAACAGTGTGTAATAGGCCTGCGTGAAGTGGCTAGTATTCACTTTGGATTTGGCCGATTCAGGGGAAAGGGATTTGATTTGGTGATTTGAATCACTGTCCCAAATCGATTCAGCCAAATCTGATCCAGAGATTTGGCTGCCGCCAAATCTGCCGAGTCTCCGAATTAAACAGGTCCCATCCCCCGCCCATTCTCCCAGCCCCAGCATGGCTGCCCTGCTCGGCCCCAGCGTTGGGTCTTAAAAAAAAAACAAAAAACAACCCCTGCACTCACCGGCTGCTGCCAGGTGTGGGGAGGGAGGGCGATCCCCACTGCATCCCACTGTCCTGTGCTGCATGGAGTCTCTGCCATGAGCCCCCAGAAGCCCTGGTGGCTGCTGCAGCAGCGGATGAGTGTGGGGCTTTTTAAATTTTTTTAAAAGAACCGGGAGCTGGGACCAGGTGGGGCATCCACAAGGGAAGGGGGAGGGTTGGGAGAGTGGGTTGTGGGGTGCTCAGACGGGCTGGGGGAGCAGGCAGGGGATGGGGCCTGGTGGGGGTCCCCCCATGGTCCCCTCTCCCCTCCTCCAGCACTGTTCCCACCCCCTACTTACTGGCATGGAGTCTGGGTCCAGCTCCCTACAGTAGTGAGTGGGGACTGTCTGAATCTCTGAAGCTCTCTGAATCTTTTCTGAATCGATTTGGACCTTTTTATTGGACTCCTGATTTGATTTGGATTTGGCGATTCGGCCACCAAATCAGGCCAAATCTCCTCCAAACTGAATCAGCATCCAAAGCTTCACGCAGCCCTAGTGTGTAGCCCGCTTTTGATTCTGTTGAGGTTGGACATGCTTTTTCAGAAACAGTTTATCACTCAGGTCCATATAACCAATTTACTAGGAAAGTAAACAACACATATAGTCTTTACCTCCAAATACAACCCGATCGTTCCTAAAGGCCCCTCGCTTTCCGTCAGGCGGTGTCAAGTCTGTTTGAGTTTCCACACTAGTCTGCTCTGTTTGTAATATAGTTTCTGTAATACACATTCTGCGAATGGACTTTGGAGGTTTTCTCTTTGTTGGTAATTCAGTAGTAGTATTAGGCATCTCTGAAATGTCATCAGTTGAGGCTGTTGAAGATGAGTTTATTTCTGTAGCTGGTACAGGTATGGTGCTTGTACTTGTTTCTGGTTTGCATGAATCAATCCAAGTATCTACAAAAAGAAAAGAAAGAGTTAAGCATTTTGCTGGGCAGTATTGCAAAATGTTTTATGTATGAGATGTAAAACATTTAAACCTGTACTGAGCATTTTCAGATGTTTTTCTGAAGATTTCCATTTATTGTAATTTGTTTATTTACAAATATGGTGCTAGATTCAGTTTACATGTAACATCTGAGTAGTTTCAAACCATCCAGGTATTTAAAATAAGGCACATGCTTAAGTACCTTACTGAATCAATATAACATTAATTCTATAATGGCAACAAAAAACAAAGTTTTTTGACTCCATCAGTAATATTGTATGTAGAAAACTGGAATTCTGGTTAAGAATGGATTGAACACAAGGTCCTAACAAATAATTGGTAACCCATATTTTTGGTGGAGTCCAAAAAATGTTGAGAACCACTGCTTTAAAGTTATCAGTGGTTACAGTAACCAGCTAAATACATTACAAAAAATAATGGGGGGAAATGACTTATGTACTGTTCTGAATATGAGTCCTTGGTGGAAAGTCTGATGACGCAGTTTCATTCATAAAGTGAGTAGCCAGATGACAGGGAATTGTTTTATCTTTTTCACTGAAGTATTTACATGACT